AATGATTTTGAGTTTTGTTCCACATGGTTCTCCCTCTCTATCCATGATCTTCTCTATCCATGATCTCCTACATAGATCCCCCTCCAAGTGGTAGCCGGCCTATCAGACCAGCAAACCTGGTCCAGCCCAGGGTATTCTTGAAATTCTTAGATTTTATGTCAATGAAAAAAAGCACCCACAACCTATAACCTATAAGGTACTTGTTGGAAAGGTGAAACAATAGGTGTTTTACTTAAAGTGAAATGTTGAGGGCTCTATTTTAGAGTATACATTACTATTCACTGATACCTATTTTCTTTTTAATAGTTCTTGCCTTTAACGTCTGATATGAATGTAAATAGATAGAAAGTGAAATTAGAAAGGCTGGCTTCTTTCTGCTTGTAAAATAATTACTATGTTGAAACTTAACAGGCATTGTTACTTTATGAAGTTGTGCTGGTTCTTAATGTTGGCCAAGCACTGATACCCTCAGGGTAGATAGATGGAGGTATACAAAGTATTTCTTAACAGTATGTAACATAATTTGGGAAAAGGGCTTACATAGTGTTTGTTGTGTTTCCAAGGCTGTCAATCTTTCTCCCATGGAGCAGCTAGGGAGTTTAGACCTTTTGGTTAGCAGGCAAGTGTTTAACCACTGTGCCACCAGGGCTCCTGTTTTTAGACCTATATAAACCTAAAATCTTTATAATACTCACTCCACTAAACATTTATGTACTTAACATCACATCTTTACCTGATGTGCATGCAAATAATATTCCTTTAATCTATATAGTATTTAGTCACTGAAAGTGTCTAAGGCTTATTTTACAGGTTTATTACTCCTTTAAAGTTAATGACTATCCTGTTGAAGGTATAGTAAGAAATTTACACATCACCCCCTTCTAACTGATTTCTAACTGATCTAACTGATCGACTTAAACTTAATCCACTGATTGGCACCACGAACTTCAAAAGGTGGATCACTACAGTAGATGTGATGGCCTAACTCTTCCAAAGGTGGTTCAGGGTCAGCTGTAGCAAACTGGGCAGCATCTTCAATTTCTTTCCTCACTTCAACGTCAATTTCCTTAAAAAAAAAAAAAAGACTGTAGGTCAAGAGATTTTAGCATGAACAGCAGCTTAGCAGCTTAGGTACTGCCTAGACTAGAGAACCTGTTGCTAGTATAGCTAGTATAATTTTTCTACAATTGTTATTTAAGGATGTAAACATTATCAATCATGAATTAAGGATGTAAAGACTTTGTCAATGATTAAATAATCCTGCAGCATTGCTATTTCTCATTTACTTTGGCACTTATACAGAGTAATACCATGGTTGGTTGCTAGTCCTGTGGAGTTTGAGGTTTTTTAGTATAAATTTGATTAAGCCCAAACTTCTACTTCTCTTTTAGACTTCTGAGAACTTCTCAGAGTAAGTATACCTTTAATTCTTCAACACTGGCAAGGTTGTTGTTCACCATTCTATCCTTGAGAAGCATAATGGGATCACTCTTACTTCTTACTTCCTGAATTTCTTCTCGTGTACGGTAGCTGTAGCAAGGGAAGAAGGAAGAAAAAAAAGGGAAACATGAAACATTAAACATTAGGCATAGTGAGGAACAGCACAGGTCCACATCACTGTGGGAGGGAGTGTGTCCAAAGATGTTAACAGTGTAACTAAATAAACAGGAACAGCACAGGTCCACATCACTGTGGGAGGGAGTGTGTCCAAAGATGTTAACAGTGTAACTAAATTAACAGTGTAACTAAATAAACAAACAGTAACTAAAAGAGCTGCTTGTATCTTTTATCAGAAACTTAAACAAACAGTAACTAAAAGAGCTGCTTGTATCTTTTATCAGAAACTCCACTAGCACATCTCCAGCACTCTGGAAACAGGGCTACATTGGGTGTTTTTAAGAGTTAAGAGTAGTGTCGTCTATGTTCATTCATCTATGTTTTTTTTTTAAATTTTTTTTATTATATGGGTATAGCAGTGGAGATTGAGGTTATTCAGGGTGCTGCTTTCCCCCTCTAGAAGTACGTGTGGCTATCAAGCAAATAAATGTGGCTAGCAAAAATTTTCTTGATAAAAGCATTGTCTCATGACTTGTTAATCTCATGACTTGTTAAACAGCTGAATTACACAGAATAGAATATGCGCTCCACAAAATTTACCCTGAAAGGAACTCCATTGTACAATGTACAAACATGCTTTTGTGCAGTTGAATATTAGTTTAGTTGAATATTTTGACATTCCCATGTTACTCAGAGTATAATCATGAATCATGAATGATTTTGGGGTGATACCTACCAAAAATCCTAAGTGTCCCCTGTTTAAGTTACATCAATATATACATCAATATATGACAGGGTTTCAGGTATGATTTATTTGATACCAGCAAGATAACCTAGCCTACAAATGAAACCAATTAGTATCTGGTTTCTAGTTTCTTCTAGTTTCTAAATTCTGTTTCTAGTTTCTAAATTCTCCATCCCTAAGTAACACTGTGGGAGCCACCCAGAGGTCTCCCATTAGCATACCTGACTCCAGGATCACTCATACTGTGTCCGTGGTAACGGTAAGTCTGCAGCTCCATCAGTATAGGCCCCTACAGGGGAAACAGCAGGAGGTGAGGGGGCAGCACACCAACAACCCATGGCATTCAACTTCAGATCACAGATCTGTGTTAAACAGGCTGAGTGGTCAAGACCTGCTTCCTGCTTGGTGGTCACCTAAGGTGGTCACCTAACTCATTTCTCTGCATGTCTCAACTCATTTCTCTGCATGTCTCAAGCCAAAAAGGCACTAAGGCACTTTTAGCAGGTTATAGAGCCTACTACTATTTACTATCTATGCTTTTTCTGAAGTCACAAGTGAAATGGATTTGTAATTGTATTTGTATTGATTTGTATTGCAATGCAAACAGCTACAGTATCAGCTATGACAAGAACAAAAGCACAGGGTTGGTAGGCCCATTTCCACCATCCACTTTATTCCACCATCCACTTTACAGAGAGCTGACTAGTGGGTAACAGTTCATACACACACACCAACAGCTGTGCTGTGTATCAGCAAATGCCTTGCAGAAGCATGAGGGGAAGGGATGTGGATGTTTCGTTTCTTGGCTCCCCATCCTTGGCCTTTCTGTGCCTCAGTTTCTTCAGCAAAAATAGCATAGCCACACACAGCATGTCACTGAAAGGGAAACCTCAAGGGTATGGTTTCTGGGCTGTGGACTAACTGAGGGAGACACACTAGCTCTGAAGGTGCTTACTGTTACTGTTGCTCCTCCTCTACCTCTGCCATACACTACACTAAAAATTGCAATATATGTAAAAATATGTACTTATGTAAAAATATGTACTGTGGGGTTATCCACCTATCCACCCACTGTGTTCACTGAAGGGGGTGTGATGATACAAGACCATTGTATTTATATAAAGGGACTCAAACAGCTTGAGTCTGCACCTCACTTAGCTGCCCCTTCATGGCAGGTATGTGGGAGGCATTCTTTTAAGACAGATGAATAGTCTACTAAGAGAAAGTCCTACCTTTCCAGATCTGCAGTAGGCAGCTGCAAACTTTGTAGCCTCCCGGACACACAGGACATCCATTCCATCTACCTGTTCATAATAAACATGTAATGAGCACAGTCTAAGTCAAACAGACCCAAGCCATTCTCACTGATGTGTAGATGTGTATTAAGAAAAGCCTCTAGCAGGGCAGGAACAGCCTGGGCTCTACGCTGGGTATGCTTACCCTCAGCCCAGGAATAAAATCGCCTCTCTTGTAGTAGTCAGTGCTGGCTGCTGCTCTCTCCACAGATGTTCCCATTCCATAACGGTTATTCTCACAGATAAAAATACAAGGTAATTTCCACAAAGCTGCCATATTGTAAGCTTCAAATATCTGACCCTGGAAGAATTCATGAAAACATTTTTTGCTTATCTAGTTTTGTTAAAAATTCTATCAGATGCACTGGCTACCCAGTGGTGCCTCATACTCCACAGATAGTTGACTACTTGATACTTCACAGATAGTTGACTACTTGACCATGATAAGAGTAGAGAGTAAAAGTCAGAGTTTAAAACTCTGAGAGTAAATCGACATGGCCACTGCATCCAAGAGAAATGGTTTAAGTAAAAAGAAAAGGGGCTAGGGTCCTTTCACTAACTAGTTGGTAGTTTGGGGAACACTTCCTCATAGCAATGTGACTCTACAAAAATCTACAGAAAACATGCCCAAGTACAGCTCTAATTTGACCATACTTACTATTTAATGCATTACTATTATTACTATTATTACAACAATTATGAATATTCAACAATTTAGAAGTAAAACTGTCATCTAGAAGTAAAACTGTCATCTGTTACAAAAAATTAAGAGGCACATACATACTTGATTAGCAGCACCGTCCCCATAGAGCGTCAAGCAGACCTCATCTTTTCCATTGTACTTGCAGGCCAGAGCAATTCCAGCTCCCAGGGGGACCTGACATCAAAGACAACCAAGAAAGGAGCCACAGAAATCCACAAGGAGAGAGATTAGTCCTCTGCATTTTACTCCTGGCATGAAGTTTGAAAATGACACTGCTGCAAATTCCCCCAATATTTTAAAGAAACCAACAAGTAACATCAATAAAAAATAGTATATTCTGTTTCAACTATGTCTCAACTATTAACCTTAAATAGCTCAAAAATGAAACAAAACAGCCTAATACTATCCATACATTAAAAAAACACCCCACTGCCATCAATTCAATTACAACGCATAAGCATCCCTACTGGGTTTCCTACTGGGTTTCCAAGGTTGGAATCTTTCTTTATGTAAATAGACTGCCTCAGCTTCTTCCCACAAAACAGCTGGTGGGTCTGAACCACCAGCCTTCCTTTATTAGAACCCCTTATCTATATATCAGAACCAAACAATTTAGGTAAAAGCTTATGCTGTTCATTCTTGATTATCCAGCAATTAATGGATTGATGGGAAGGAAGAAGACTGCATATAACCACAGACGCTGGCTTTGTATTATAAACAGGCCCCTAAGGAACCATCACCTGCCTCTTCTAGTCTGTGCCCTGTGCTAGCATGGTTGAAAGCGGGCCAGGCCCCACTGCTCATCCTCATTCCTGCTAGGGCCATAACGGATAGACTGACTACCTGAGCGCCAACGATGCCATTGCCCCCATAGAAGTTCTTGGCATACATATGCATTGACCCTCCTTTTCCTTTAGCACAACCTCCTCTTCGTCCTACAAATGGCAAAAAACACATCAGAAGACAAATACACTAAACAAATTCATACCCCAAGCAGTCACTGAGAAAGCACGACCATTTGAACTCCTGAGCCAATTCCGTTATCTAAGCATCTTTTTATGCACACATGCTCCTCCTAGCCCTATCATTTTATAACGAAGGTCAGACTAACCCATGTCTTTGACCTCTCCAACCTGACCTCAACAGTTTCCTTCAGGTGGTACCCTGGACATTTTTTTGCCAATTAGAAACATCTGCCACATTCCACTGCACTGGCACACATAGTTCAAGGGACAAGGGAATTCCCAGAATATAAGTTGCAGACCACAGACTATTTCAACTCAATTTACTTCCTATACCAGCTAAACTTCTGTTGACATGCTTAAGTGATGAAAGAAACACTAATCTTTCAAAACATTTACCTGAGGGGCCAAGAAAAATTGGTCAGTTTTTTTTTTTTAAGAGTTTATCAAAAGAAAAAAAAAGCAAAAAAAGTATATATATATATATATATATATATATATATATATATATTTTTTTTTTTTTTTTTAACTCCTAACAGCAATGCTGTTAACAGCTGAAATTTGAAAACCTTTATAAATCAGTAGCACATCAAACCTGTTAGCTCTGCGAGAATTTCTCGGACAGAAAGACCCCGGGTAAAGGTAAAGCCATGAGCCCGATAAGCTGTAATAAGATGATCCGTGGGATTTATACCGGCCTCCAGCCCCACACAGCATGCTTCCTACATTAAAGGAAGAAGAAACAAGAGGTCAATACAACACATCTTTCTAGATAAAAAGGTCTCCTAGACCTGTTGTGAAACATTTAGGCTAGCTGAACACTTCATTAATAACTACAGAAACTGGGTATTTTTCATCAAAAATATATAATAGAGGGTAAGGCCCAAACCAGAAGGCATACACAGGCAACAGACAGATAACATGTTGTTTCCTTTAGCCTGCACAGTGATTAAAAAAAAAAAATCCTGAAATCAGATGTTTGGGGTAAAGAAGTTAATTTTACTAACTTTACTCAAAGAATTTGATCTTTGTTCTTGGTTCCTGAGAGGTAACCCCTAAAACTTTGGACTTTCACCAGTGAATGAGTGTCTTTGATGAAGTCTTCCTCCAGACCATACTTGTTGGTTGGGGGCTGACTATGCCAGACTCAACCTTTGATGTTGACCAACCTCTGGACAGGGGCTAGAGTTGGACTGAAGCTCCCTGGTTGCTGAAAGAAACTGATGCACGAAGGAGGGCAGGGCATCGCTTTTTGGCACATGGAAGCTCCATGCCGGAAACCCTCTTAGGGCCTTGCCCTGTGTGTCTGTCTCTTCATTTGAATCCTTTTTGCTATAATAAAAACTAATTATTGGTATAATAATTTCCATGAGTTCTGTGAGTGATTCTTGTGAATTATCAAACCCAAGGTAGAATAGTGGGAGGCAGCAGGTCAGATGTGTATGTATGTGTGTGTTTGTGTTGGGGGGGCACTGACTGACAGTAAATTGACTTTGATTTTCCAAGCACTGAAATACTGGGAGAATTTCATATAAAAACCCAAACCTTCATCTCAAATGTTAGATGCATTAGCCCCTGCCATATGGCACCAAGTGGCTGGAACTTCATCACGATGTCCCCTCAGGATGGGGCCTACCTGCTCCAGTGCGCCACTAGCTCCCGCCACCATTCCCCATTTCTTGTCTACTTGGCCTTCTTCACACAGTTTTCTACTTGTCTGGCCTCTGTAGACATTTGAATTTGTAACCCTTGGCCTAAAAACAAAATAATCCCATCCTTTCTTCCCCTAAGTATAAAGTATAGACGATCATGCCACCATAGTTTTAAAATAGTAAAATTCTTAGAACAGGTACAGGAGATCGGCTTTAGGTAAGCTTCATAGCAGGCTTTACCCATTCTAATTTTTATTCTAAAATAATAGACTCAAAGCATCTTGATGCATCCAAACCCACTGCCACTGAGTTGACTGAATCACAACCCTCCACTGGGTTTCCAAGGCAGTAAATCATCAATTGAAGTAAATTCCTTCATCTTTCTCTCATGAGGAGCTGTGGTACTGTAGTGCCTTAAGGCATGTGACTGCTAACCAGAAGGCTGGCGGTTCAAACCCACCAGCCACTCCTTGGAAAGAAGAGAGTGTATCAGTGTTGTATTCTTTCCCTATATTTATTCAATCTGTAGGAGCTCTGGTAGCATAGTGCCTAAGGCACTTGACTGCTAAC